GCCTTCGTCTTCCGCGCTTGGTCTTCCTCTGCGCCGGGGGATGCGATGCGATGCACGGGGGAAGGGGATGCGCCGGACCGCGGCACCTGGGACGCCGCCGCGCTCGTCCCCGCTGACCGGTCCTCTGTGTGTGTGTGTGTATTTCAGAGCCGCTCCTCGCCACGCCAAAATGCACCGAACAACCAGAATCAAAATAACCGAGCTAAACCCCCATCTCATGTGCGTGCTCTGCGGCGGGTACTTCATTGATGCAACGACCATCATAGAGTGCCTCCACTCCTGTAAGTACGACCGGGCGCTCCGCGTTTTTCCCCCCCGCCGCTTCCCTCCTTTCCCGGCATCCCGGGAACACACGCGAAAAAAAAAATCCCCCAAGCCCAAATCCCCCGAGGGGCTCGGGACCGACGCCGTCCTCCTCCCCGACGGGAGGGGAAGTAGGTGTTCCAGCCGCGGTGCAGATTTTCTGAGGACGGCCCTACGGTCTTTGTTAAAGTAATAATATATGTACTATAAGCGTCTCCTTTTCATGGTAATTGCAGCTTATTTGGGTAGTTGTTTAGCTTAAGCAGCGTGTTGCTGACAATGGACGATTTGCTCTAGCTTGCATAGTTTAGAAAATCGCACCTTTATCTATGCATATCTGAGCGGCACCTAGGAGCATCACTAAAAGCCTGTGGTGTTTGACTTACAGTCTGTAAGACCTGTATCGTGCGTTACTTGGAGACCAGCAAGTATTGTCCTATCTGTGATGTCCAAGTTCACAAAACTCGACCGCTTTTGAATATAAGGTAGGAGAAAGTTGCACGCTGCATCTCTTGTTTTACTTTATATGGGAAGACCAGCAGTAGTCGGTGTCAATGTTATCTCTAGGTCTGCAATTTAAATCTGAAAGGACTTGTCAATTTACAAGCTACCTCGTGTTTATGTGCTCTCTTTGGAGTTCCTTCACTGACTGAAACTGAAGATGCCTCTAGATGTGAGACAGAAAGTTTTTGTTGGTCTGTTTTAGCATGCGCCAGTCACTGATGCCTCTTCCCTCTCCCCCATTCCCCTTTACCACCCCGACAGTTCTTGCCTCTGTTTTCTGTATCTCCAAGACAGGCATCACTCCAACCACAGGTCTTAGTCATGAATACTCCTGCTGCAACTTCCCAAACTAAGAGGCAAAAGCCTTTAAGATATCATCTGCCTTTCAGAAACTTTTTTGTTGTCAGCACTGAATTTTGCTCTCTACTTTCTGGGGAGGACATGTAGTTTTTAAGGCCTTCCTTCAGTCTGAGGGAGTTCTTTTTCAATTGTGGTAACATGGATTCTGGTTCAGGGAGGTATTTAGAGCAGGGTTACTTTGATTACAAGGTCCTGTAAGTTAACTTTTTATGACTGGCTTCCCACTTTGTAGAAGATGCCTCGTTGTTGTGAAAGTTTATAAGTGAGGAGCTGCCATTTGGATTAAAATATTGCTTCATCTGCTTAATTTTATGTTGTGGGGTTGTTCTTCTTTCAGGTCAGATAAAACTCTCCAAGATATTGTATACAAGCTAGTACCAGGCCTTTTCAAAAGTAAGTAGTTAAATCAGGTATTTTATTAAGAGCAGAAAAACAAAATCAGAGCCGCTATCCTATATCAATACTGTGAGTTACAGAGTAACTACTAAAAGAAAAATATATGCTTTTCCATCTAGATGAAATGAAAAGAAGAAGGGATTTTTATGCTGCTCATCCGTCGGCTGATGGTAAAAGCTTCTCGTTCGCAACTTTAATATGTGTAGCACTGAGCTAGATGTTTTACTGTTTCCTTCTTAATTTACAAGTGATGTATTACCGTCACAGAATTTTAAGAAGTCAGCATAATAAAAGTTTATTGTTTTAACAGTCAGGTAGCTTTCATTCATTATCTTACTGTGAAGATTTTTTTTCTTGTTACTGAGAATTGCAATTCTTCCTGATTTGAATTTCAAAATGTAAATTATCGTGGAAATTTCTGTGCAGCTGCCAATGGCTCTAATGAAGACAGGGGAGAAGTGGCTGATGAAGACAAAAGAATTATAACAGACGACGAGATAATAAGCTTATCCATTGAATTCTTTGACCAGAATAGGCAAGTTCCAGAATGGCAAAATTTTATGTTTACCTGTTTGATAGCACCTGTATTTATTATTTGTTGTGATTGTATAATTTCTTCTCACAGACTGGAGCGAAAAGGAAATAAGGAGAAAGAAAAATCAAAAGAAGAGGTAAATAACTTTCCTTTACTCTAGAGGAAACATATCACAGACACACACAACTTTGGGGCAGGTCTGTAGCTGAGAAAAATATGTAGTTATGTGTATCTAGAACAAAGGAAGCACACCTCCTGTTATGGTACTAGGTACAGAAGAGGTGAAATATTTTCATACAGCTGCATATGCAGCCAAGTTTTTAAAATTAAAAATACCTGCAGTATTATTTCTAAAGCAGAATATGATTTTCTGTCAAAGTCTGGGAAAAATATGTAATAATTTTTTAAAAAATAATATGCATTGCATAGGTAGCCTGAAAGATACTAAATATGATACAAATATTTGCATACATATTTAGTTACAATTTTAAATTACTTTCTTTAGAACTGTAATTGTTGCTTATTTCCAATTTGCCCTCCAAAGACAGCAGGCACTGTTGTATTACAGTTCATAATTTAGTAAGGTGCACTTTTTTCAACATGAAACGTTAGAATACATCATTGGTGGGAGTAATAGCTCATTCTCTGTAGACTGATTTTCTTTACTATGCCACTAGGTGAATGACAAAAGATACTTGCGCTGCCCAGCAGCAATGACAGTGATGCATCTAAGAAAGTTCTTGCGGAGTAAGATGGATATACCTAACACTTTCCAGGTACCCATGGGGAAAGAGTGATTTTTGTTTGTTTGTTTGTATTCTTTGGGGTTTCTTTTGGTATGACTCATTTTCTCATTACAGCCAGTCGCAGCAAGTGGTAGCAGCCAAGTATTTCTGGTGTGTGCCATACGTTACTTGGTTTATTTTTGAAATATCTGTCTGTAGAGTTCAGTGACACTGTAATTTTTTTAGTGCTGTAAATACCAAAGTATTAAAAAATTGCTCCTTGATGTATTTGTGATATCTGTGACAGTGAGGCTATTTTTACCTCAGAGCAGTCATGTGCTAGGGGTAAATGCCTGGATGCTCCTTAATGCAAGGGTTTGTATCTTGCACAGATCGATGTGATGTATGAAGAGGAGCCTCTGAAGGACTACTACACCCTAATGGATATTGCCTACATCTACACCTGGAGGCGGGTGAGTATTTCCAGTGTGCTCCCAGGAGGGTGCAGGTCATGGCCTGGGCAGGGCACTTACCAGGGTCTCCCTTTTGCTTTGCAGAATGGGCCTCTGCCCTTGAAATACCGTGTCCGACCTACTTGCAAGAGGATGAAGATCAGTCACCAGAGGGAAGGGTTGAACAACAGTGGGGAGCTGGAAAGTGACTCTGGGAGCGACAAGGCGAGCAGCCCAGCAGGAGGCATCCCCTCCACCTCCTCCTGTTTGCCCAGCCCCAGCACACCAGTCCAGTCTCCTCACCCCCAGTTCCCCCACATCTCCAGCACCATGAATGGCACCAGCAGCAGCCCCAGCAGTAACCACCAGTCCTCCTTTACCAACAGAGCTCGGAAAACATCAATAAATGGCTCCTCAGCCACTTCATCTGGTTGATGTGCCAACCAGGCTACCACCCTCGCCCCTCCTTTATATAGATCTCTCCATGCCATTACAGCTTTATAGATGCTAATCCATGTGACTATCATCCAAATTGCTTTCTTTTGTAGTAACACTGAACTTGGCTATAAAAGTCGGACTAGGTGACATTCAGGATGGACGTTAATGGAAACGCAAGTTTGAAATGTAAATTGTTTTCAGAGGACTGGGAAGCAAACAAAAGTTACACCTTCACCTGTTCTGAATGATGTGGAGTTGTTTCTGTCCCCATCATCTGGAGCCAGGAGACTCCAGAAGTCAATACAAATCCTGGGAAGTAGTTTGTTAATCCAGACTAACTCCTCCATTGCGTTCTCTTTGATTGTTATTGTTCTTATACTGTTTTGTGAACCTGTAGAAAGCAAGTGCTTTTTCATCTTGAAATCCAACAAAATTGAAAGAATATGCATAGAAAAATGCATATATGTAGCCATGTCACTGTGAATAACAATTTTTGCGTATTAGCCATTTTGATTCTTATGTTGCATCTTTTACTTCTCTGTTGCTGCGCAGAACCGATCAAAAGAAAAGTAAACTTCAGTTTTACAATCTGTATGCCTAAAAGCGGGTATTACCGTTTTATTTACTGACTTGTTTAAATGATTCGCTTTTGTAAGAATCAGATGGCATTATGCTTATTGTACAATGCCATATTGGTATATGACATAACAGGAAACAGTATTGTATGATATATTTATAAATACTATAAAGAAAATATTGTGTTTCATGCACTCATGATATGGTTGTTAAATTTCTAAACTGGTTCGACCCTTGCAGATGCCGCCTGTTTGAGCTTTGCTCATACTGCAAGAAACACATTGCGTGTGAGAGCTACAGTATTGGGAAAGCACATTCAAGTCTCTGATAACCTGGAGGCAATTGGCAATCTTAAAAGGATTTTACTTGCTTTGTCTTTTTTTTTTTTCTTCCAAGTGGAATATTTTTACTTTACCAAATGTTAAAGTGATACAGTGAAAAAAAAAAATAAAAAAATCAAGGGACATGGAAGTTTTAGACCTGTTTGATTACCTTTTTATTATTTGGTGTGGTGGGACTGTGTTTTTAAAAGCACATGGAATCATTATAGAAGCCATAAACTATTTGATATAAATTTTAAGGAACCAGCGAGTGGCTGGATGAAGGCATTTTATCTAAATTTGTTTTAATATATATGTATGTGGTACAGTACTAACTTCATTAAAATTTAACTGGTACTTTAATATTTCCAATAAATTGTGGAGAATGCCTTCTCTTTAATGGCCTGCAAGTAGGTGCATTTCATTAGAGGCTTCTAAGGGTGGGATTTTTTCAGTAGGAGGAACTTTTCCACCATAAAATATGAACAGCCCAGAACACTTTTCAGTTTGTGCTTTGCTTTGGTCGAACTTTGTGTGTGTTCATCACCCATCAGTTATACATTTGTGAGGGTGTTTATTCTATATGGATATTGTTTCATGTTTGTACGGAAAAATTGTAGTTAAACATTTCATTGTCTCCAGTCTGCAAAAGAAGCACAATTCTTATTGCTTTGTCTTGCTTATAGTCATTAAATCATTACTTTTGCATATAAATTGCTGTTACTTGTCCTGCTTGTTTTTATAGACCAGGTGATTGCAAATCCTCCACAAGGTTATTGCTTATTGATGTAAATGTCTTGTTAAACAAGAGTTGATATTTTTTCCTGTAGTAAACATGTACAGTTCAATTTCAACAGTAAAAAACTTCAGTTTTATATACACGAATAACTTTCATTTATAGCTGATCAAAGAAATAAATAAAAGGGATAATTCATTGAAAAGTAGCAAATTACCTCTGTTGATAATGTGGTGTTAAAAGACAAACATATTGTTCTCATGGGAAGTATTTCTGGGTGTACCAAAGATTTTAGTGAACAGCATAGTATAGCATACTAAAATAACAAAGCGGGGGAAAAAAACCTCTAGAAATTGTAGTGATTTGCTTTGGTAGCCTGTCTTGAAAACATTTGCTGTTCTTTATTTGACCCCGATTTATTCTTGAAAATAAGCAAATGGTGCATCCTCACATCCCAGTCAGCCACAGGTTTTACCTCCTATCTGTTCAAACTTTGCCCCTGTTAAACTGCACTATCTGGGAAGGGAAGAACTTGATTTTTTTTTGTGATGGCGAGTGCCGTGTTCTGCCTGTGCTGCCCTGGATTACTTTTTAAAGCTTCAGTAGAACTAAATACGTTTTAATATAAAGATACCTCTCAATGTGACCGAATGTCTATCTTGACACGATTGCCTCAGCTACATGAGTGAATCACACTGTAGTGGTTGAATTATTTATCCCAAAAACCAGCGCTGAACCTGCAGCAGAGGCTTGTACGTTGGCACACTGATCAAAATGTGCTTAATTTTACTCGAAATAGCAGTTAATCACTGCTGCTAGCATCAATACGGAGCTATTCTCGGTCTTTGTGGAGTGCCCGTGAAGCACTCTGCAGTGAAACATGAGTTGGTTATTTCCCTCCGAGATTTACTGAGCTCTTAAAGTATTTTCCACATCTCCCAATTTGACATCTCCTGTGTGAACAAGAACAAACGCTCTAGTAGCTCTCTTGCCGAGCTGCAAAAGCCGCCGAGGATGTTTGTGCTGCCATGTGAAACTTTCGGTTTGTTGCTGGCCCTGTGCAGATGGCACTGCGATGCGTATATACTGCTAAGCACAACTGGGAGGACGATCAAAGATAGCATCTTGGTGTTCTACTTGTGAAGCTGCTATGTCAGCCTTCCCGGTTTCACAATATTTTCCTTTGCATATACATAGTGACAGGTTTTCCTTTCACATGTACCTAAATTCTCCCTGATAGGAAAGAAATCTCCGCTCGGTGCAAGTAAGGGGAACCTTTTCCTTATCCGACGTTGCGTTTATATAGATGGAGGGATAAAGGCGAAGTCTGCTGCGTTTTCCTGAGCTTGTTCAACACGCAATCTGGTCAAGGACAGTGGCAGGAGTGGTCTGTGCCGGCTGGAAAAGGATGTTTTTCTGCCTTCGTCTGACCAAATTTTCTGCCCTGGTTCAGCTGCCTGCGGCTCCAAGCAGCGCTTTTGTGTCCGGCAAGAATGGGGACCCAGCCCCGGGGAAAGCAAGAGAGAGGGAGCAAGAAAAGCTCCATACGCTTCTGGAGAAGACGGACAGAAACAGAGAGACGGAATGCAGAAATAGGAAGGGAGAGAAAAAGGAGCATGACGAGCTTGCTGAACCGAGGCTGTCCCCCAGCACTGACCACTTCTCTCAACAACCTGCGCCCCTGACTTCCAGAAAACCGACTGTGGCGGGCGGGTACCGCCGGCAAATTTCCGACAGCGGCGGCGTCCCGTGGGCAGGAGAGGGAAGCGGCGGGCGGCACCACCGCGGCGCCGGGGACCCGGCCGGCACCGGGGGAGCTCTAGGAAAGCTCCAGCCGTGAGAAAACGACGCTCCTCGATTTTTGAATGATGGGGGGCACAGAAACCCGACGGCGAAGGCAGCGGCAGCGGCGGGCGCCCTTCCCGAAGAGGCGATGCCTTTCGTCCTCTGGCCGCTGCCGCCGGGCCACCGCCGCCACCTCCGCCGCCGCACCGCTGCCCCAGGAGTCGCTTTTTTCGCTGGGGATTTTCAAAGCGCGGCCAAAGCAAGTATTGCCATGGCCGGTACAGGGGCGAGCTCTCCTTCCTTCCGCCTCCGCCAAACACGCTCCTCTTTTCTTCTGCGCCGCGGCCCCGAAGCGCCGGTTCCTCAGCCCCGGCGGCAGAGTGCTCCTGCCTTCCAAACATCACTTCTGGACTGTTCATCTCTCACCACGCAGGGACTCCTGCAGTTCCGATCTTTGCCACCAAACTGGCTGACGACGATCGGGTTGTCTCGTCG